TAAAATATACGAACGTAAAAGAATTGAGCCAATAAGACACACAAGACTAATCGCACTTACCGAAACTTAGAATATTAATGCTCAAAGTCGGAAATACATTAATCCTTAGTTTAATGACTTACTTCAGCCGTTCTCGGAATAAAAGCCATGGAGTATAAAAAAATCCATTAGTAGAACAAGTAAACGATATAGTGAAAAGAAAAAGTAATACGCCACATGCGAATAAAATGAGTGGCCAGTGCATACTAAAACAAAGAAAAAATTAAGACATGTCAGTAGTCACGTTGTTCGGTAGGTAATAAATCATTAGTGCGAACTCGATTAAATTGTGGTTTTGAATGTCACACTTGAATCCTGAATGATATATTTATATATATTACGTCAACCAGCACCCATAATTATTAGCTCTCAATCTCAAAGACAATTTACAATTGCGCTGATTTTTTTACTGTGATCTTTGTTGTACATTATTAACAATTTTTCTGCCGTCTATTGGATATACCGATATACAGTTAAAGAATTATTTAAAAAATTTCATAAAACTACGACGAAGATTAAGGCTAAGTTCGACTATTCCAAAAGATTTTTTTAAATATTTTATGCAGTGAAAGTGTGTCGCGCAGAATATGCCTTCGAGAGAAATGTACGAATCTGTCAATCATTGTAGACGATATTGTTTGCCCAGGTGTAACTATACATATTTGAACAGTTCGATAATAGAGCAATGATATTATGATAAGTTATCATAAAAAATTTACGTTTAGAAACCGAATTACCAAACTATGTTAAAGCATATTTTTTGTGTAGCTTGACCGATATTTATTTTTTTCCAAACTGTATAACGACTTCTGCGTTTCAGATCGTTCGGATTGTATTATATTAAATTTCTATTACGTATAATGATGTTACCATTGTATGTTTTGTATGTTTTTAGCGTAAGGGGCCCCATATACGAGACGATCCGTCGGCGTCGCGTCGTTACGATCGATGTGAACACACACACGAAACGATTGGTCGTTACGATCGAACCTCGGATCGAACGCCTTACATGTTTTTAAAACCGAACTATAACCTAATTTAATAATTGAATTTGTCATACGTGCTCTGTTAAAATGGAAAACGAACTTCTTCTTCTTAGCTATGTGGCGTTAACTTTGATTCGATCGCAGCAGAAACGTCGAAAACCCAGAAAAGTGTGGGTCAAAAAATGGCTAAAGCGAAATCAGTATTCGTATGCTATTATGATAAATTGATAATCTTTATGTTTCGTTTTCCATAAATGCTCTTGCTCTCTGAATAAATCAATAAATTCAATGAAATAATCATTGCTTCATGTAGTCATTTTTAGTGCATTTTTTATGAATTAAAAAAAATGTGCTATTGTTTGCGTTTTGTCCGTCCGTCCGCCCGGACCCACTTCTGCAGTTTCGAACTACTTCTAGGGGAATGGTCTCGGGAATGGTCCTAGAGTCCTGGAAGTAAAACGTGCATAACTTTTACATACGACACCATATTGGTCTCGGATTTTGCATACGCATGCCTTTAGTGGTGCCAAGTTAAACTTTAGAAAATTGGGGGGGGTTAAACACTTGTTCTACCCTTCATGGTATTCTAATGAAAGGTCTCATCGAAATAAAGTGGTTTGTACGAACTATAACTTTCCCGTGCGACTCATTTTCGAGATCAGTGAGCAACGGAGCCTCAGACGGGGGGGGGGGGGGGGAATTAATTTTATCTCTCATTGTATTCTAATTAAAGGTCGAAAAGTCTGTATGCAGTTCTGGGGCTGAGATCTCGAAGAAACAAACTGACAGGTAATTTTAGTTTCCATGACAGTGCTAGTAATACGTTATCTGACTACTTTCTCTGCGCCTTGCTTTACTGGCTACCCCTATCACTTTTGTCAAAATTGGTAATGTCTAATGACTCCTGTCAGCACTGACCGATTGGCATTAATCAAACGTTCTATATGAAAATTGAAATTATATTAAAAAAAAAAACGATTTCGTGTAAAATTTAATAGAAAACTCGTCAGTAAAATTACACTACTTGACTCGGCTCCAACGGGGCCTCTTACTTCGAGATTTCCTCGTCAGTAATATATCTTTTTCCTGACTTTTATGTGAATAAATAACTATTAATCATATCGTATGTATATTCTTTCAAGATCAGATCTCCTGCATTTTTTTGCATGAAAAATGCTGAATACTAATTTTCAGTTGAACTCTTTAAATTGTCAGAATTTTAACATCATATAAACAAGTAAATTACTACTTAACTTTCCTAAGCAAATCAATTAAAAATCAATATTTCTCCATAATACTTTAATGATGATTAACAAAAACGGAGAAGTCACTTCAAACCCCATTTCAAGATGGATCCTTGGCCTAAGGTCTAGATATCTAGTATTACATTGTATATTTTTCTTTTTTTTTCGTTTCTTTATATTCTTTTTGAAATGTAATCAAACGCAAACAGTCTACGATGCACTATGTTCACTGATCGCCTTTGGTGTGTATGTATTTATATTTTTTATATATCTATATTCGTCTGTATCCAACGTTACGCTCTTTTGTTCTTTTGTGCCATAACCTGTTACTACTACTTACGCTATCTGTTGGTTTTGGCCTAATATCAAGTAAATAAATATTAACCGCGTACTATAAGCTACTGGATTTTGAAGAATTTAATATTTTTACCCAAGTTTTTTGTAATAAAACGTATGTCCATTTTTGTAGGTTAAACAAAGAAACTAATCTCTGACAAACTAACTTATAAAAAATGTTGGGTTGCTATTTGTGGAAAAAGTTACGTGACGTCACTGCGCAAAAACTCAAGAGTATGCAAAAAAAGGTTTCTGACAGTCTTAATCCTTATTTGAGAAAAAAAAGTTCGATGAAGTGGCGACGCTCCAAAATTTTGTTTCATAAAATCCGGTCAGTTATTTATCGTTTCCGTATGCCTAATGTACATATCCAAAATTTAGATCCGTCGAGTCGTTGTCTTTTGTCTAACGTACTACGTAATTACGTACCTACCTAGGTACATACATACAGCCGGAAAATTGACAATATTTCAGTTCTGAACAATTCTGGAAAGTCAATAGTATGTATAAGACGGCTTTCAATAGTTGCAGTGCTTAAGGCTTTCGAAAATGCTTTAAATCTAAACCTAAGTGCGTTGCAATAAGTAATCGCCACCCGAAACTTGCCACATACCACAGTAGTGGTGATGGTTGAAAAACGTAACAGCAATTCGAAATATGAACAATCAGTTGGCACTTTGGCAGTATATTTCAATCAGAGTTCAAAATATCCTCGAAAATATCTTTTCTACACTAGGTAATCTAATTAGCACCTAAACCACTTGTGACTATTTTATAAGACGTGTAGCCGAGTGTAGCTTTATTTGAAGAAAAATATATACATGTCAAAACCGCGATTCGCGCCGTGATTGCTGAAAATAGTTAATTACAAACTTTTTTTACAAACCGTCTGTAACTCAATAATATCCGAGTTTTTGATGAATAACAACAATTTTATGGAAATTTGCAAAAATATAATTCGACCATCGCACCAAGTTAATTATTATTCAGTAGGAAAAGTTTACTTCAAGAAGACTAAGTTTGTAAATATCAACTCTTTCTAAGAACTAGCTACAATGTACAATGGTTTTCAATGACATAGCGATAAAGGGGCTATCTTGAAATTGAGGGCCATATGGAAAAATTTTCTAATCCAATTACGACGAAGAAATTTCTTTAGTACGTATAGTGTGTCACTATAGAATAGTGAAAAAATAAAAAAAACTACAACACTCTTAATTGGAACTCTTAAAACTTCCTTCCCAGCGTCGCGTCACTCCAAAGCATGCCATCTATTGTTTTCTCATTTATTACAGAAATCACTTATCTAGTTAATTAGGAAGTTCGTTAAAGGAGTGTTTGGTACCTATTTTTATCACAATACCCTAAACTCGACATTATTTTTGAACATCTTTCACACGGGTTAGCGAATTATCAGAGGTATAGTATTTTTATTCCTCAGAGATCGTTTTGGAACCATTGTTCATGTGGTTTTACGTTTCCAATAGATCTCCACCGACAATTTTTAAAACTGACACACTACACTGTTTTGAAGATCTTATAGGGAGAAAACGTGCATTATTTGAATGGAAGAAAAATACTTGAATACCTACTCTATATTATACCTATATGATAAAGGAATTATTGTTTGTAGAGATGCTGCAGAAAAAATGCTGATATAAAAAAGCGAGATCACAAAGAGAATGTGCAATACGAAGAATATGTAAGTGATATTCATACTTCAGATTATTTTTACGACTCGATACTTGGCTTAAAGTCACGTAGGCGCAATAAAAAATGTTTCATGAGTTCATTGTTATCCCAGAAGCTTTTCTAAATTACAAACAGCAATTCATTTTAAACTTCCCTTTACGTTAATCAAATTATGTACCTGAAATTAACAAGTGATCCCTAACGAGTAATTAGGGACAGAGGAAAACTTGCCACAACGGCGTTTATTAGCAATACGTTACTACGTCGTTAACGATTAGATTTAGGGGGGAATCACTGATGAGATTTGCTCCCAGTTGATTACCGGAGCGTCCTCATTTAAGCGCAAACCTGAAGGTCAGCGGGGTGTCAAAAACACTTGGGTAAATTGAATTCGGTCGTCCTCAAGTAAGCGTCGATAATTGCGCCATTTAGATTCAAAGCGGATACTAGAATTTATTAAATCAATTGAGATTCTCAAACCGATTCTCACCTTGCAGGCGACAACAATCTACGGATAACAAATCGGGACGTAGCATGAATGTGTTATTATTGCTGACCTCGAAAAGCCGCATTCACGACGAATTTCGGATTGTCCCAGAAAGCCGGGTGCTGTTTTTGTTCGTACGCAATAAAAATCAATACAACGCGTCGGCGGCATCTACGATACTTCCTGACCTACCGTACCGCTTACTTTATCTTTCCGCGAGCGAGCAATCTACACATTTTCCTTCGAACTTACCGGTACTTTTCCGCAAATTCGAATCCAGTTTTCTTCTTCAAATTTCCGTGGACCGGTGAAATACTTGGTTCGCTGACGGTTGCGGGAGGGGAGGACGAACCTGTACTCGAGGATAAGCTTCCGGCACGACCCCTTAATTCGATAGGGTTGGGATGATACGTGTTTATTGCTAAAGAAGGCCGAGAATTGTTTCGATTTCTTCGCTTCTTTTTCTTTCCCGTTTCGACTTCTTCTACGCGCCCGAAAATATTGCTAGTTGGCGGGGGAGGCATCCAATCGAGGTCCTTTTTAAGGTGTCCTCGACCACATTTACAGCCGCATGCTTTAAACGCTAAATCGTACCCCTTTTTCGTCCACAGATTTTGGTGCCGCTGACGCTCTGACCACGAGCGGGCGCGGCCACAGGTCTTGAGGTAGGCCAGGACCGTCTGTTCCCAAGCGTCAAAACACTCCCGGTGCATGTAACGACCGGCGTTGCACGCGTCGTTATTACAAGTAACGCGTACTGTATCGCGTAAATCGTCCAATGATATAAGCATTGGATCGTTGTTATTAGGATTCATTTGTTGCTGTTGTGCGCGCAAACAATCTCCGTTAGGTACGCAACAACGCGTTACACCGGCCTCTTCGGGATCGATACCAATGAGGCCTTGAACTTGGCCGTGCTGCCGGCGGGGCGCCATGCCGGTTACACTCGCGGAAGCAAGTCCTATATACGTTAAAGCCCGCAGTTTGAATTTTATTTAGTCCGCAGCTACAAATAACAACCCCCAACACGTGGTTTTCTCAAAAATAATGCCTATGACCTTGAAGCGCGCGTCTTACTTGCTGCTCTCTCGGTAACCCACTGCATATGATTGCTGCACGCACAGCCAGGGAAAGTGTTCAAGAGAGGGAGTCCCGAAAGCGAAAGGTAGGGATAAGAGTGGGGCACCTTTTCACTTTCTGTTTCTATATGCGACGCAAGCGCCGGTTTCCCTCTCGTCAACCCTGACCGTCGCCGTTATTACCACTTTCTTTAAATCATAACATCCAACACGCAAGTCGCGCATTTAAACTTGGGTGCAATCTACATGAATGATGGTTTTAAATAAATACTGGTTCATGGTTGATAAGAACTGTTTATTAACCAATCTAGAAAAATTCCTAACTTGGAATTACGCAAACCTCTCACCTCCCAATCAACTTAATATTGTCACTATGTTTTGTACAGATAATGTGTTTACTTACTTACCAGTTCAATCTGTCGATCATATTTTAGCACCCACAAACCCAACGCAACGAAAATAATGATGGCCTTTTAAATTTACCCTTATTAATATGTAGTAAGCGCAGGGACCGTTGAAACAGGTTGTTAGATCTTCGTGAAGCGTGTCGACAGGTGATACCTACATCGAAACCGAACATTAAATAACCTTGTACTTACTTTTTGATGGTTAAACTATTTTAAGAATTTTAAAGTACTGTTAATTCTAATTTTGAATGATAAATGAAAAGAAGTAGCAGATGTTAGAAGACTTCAAATTATTAGTCAGTAGTACAAACGGGAGACATTGATACAATTTTGTTTAAATGTCGGTACAAACTAAAATAAAGAACTATTAGGGGTTTTAATTGCACCGTTTAATTTGCATGTGCTTTGTTTAACAAAATAAAAATAATATGGTTTTAACTTAAACATATAAGAATAAATATAAAATAAACCAAGTTTTTCAAAAATGTGTAAAATGTCTCAAGCCTCTCCATATGTGGGAGGATTGATACTCCATACAGGGAGCGTTGAGACATATACAGTGAGTTTTTTTAAAATGCGAACGTAGCAGTTTGCATGCAATGTAATTTCCCTATGTCCGATTTAAAAAAAACACATCAACCTATGAGGTGTGCGCGGTTCACATTCCCACCAGCAAAACGCGCAACTTGTGTGACTATGAACAGCAGCTTTATAGTCTTGATGATGAAGAGCCCTCGGTAAGATTTTTTTAAAGAAGCCATGTGAGGCCATAGCAACTTTAGGATAAATTTTTCTTAATCTTGCAATAACTTGACCTCACAGGGTACGCACCACAATTCATTGTGAACCAACCTTCAATTATTTGTAGGTCATGTGCACCTGGTATTCTACTAATTTGACCTATTCAATACATAAATGAAGAAAATAAGAAAATAAATAACGAAAACAACTACAATAAATGTTCGAAGTGTCATTCTAATCAATAACTTAACAGATTTCGTAATTAAATTGGACGGCGGTATTTTTAAAAATGTGACAGCTGTCAATCTATTACTCATTTGAACTACTCAATAGATTGATGTGTTTTGATTTAAAATCGAACATAGGGAAATTACATTGCATGCAAACTCCTATGTTCTCATTTAAAAAAAATTCACTGTATAACAAAAAATAACATTAAAAAGTTTATGGAACACATAACTCATAAATCATTTTCGAAGAAATGAAGATAAGGGAGGTTTGATACATCGTATCAATCCTCCTATGACTATGTGTATCAAAGCTCCCTAGAAGACAGATATACATTCAATTGTGTTGAACATTTTTAGCGCATTTCCACAAAAATAAAAATAAAAATGCACTATTGTGACCACTTTGTCCGTCCGGCTGTCCGTCCGCCCGTCCGCTCGTTCATTGAGACGCTACTAGTTCTTTATGTTAAGAGCTATTGTTCTACTTTTTTCGCTATTTGGTTCGTTATGGTGTCGAGGCTTGCCCCCAAGGAAGGAATTTTTTCTGCGTGTATTGCTAAAAAAGTTATTGTAAAAAAACCAAAAAACCATTTTTTACATATTCCATAATTTTACACTTTTGCCGTTTGTTTTGTATTGCTGTCTGTCGTCCGTCTGTTGGTCTGTCCGTCTGTTTCTTTGTCTGTCTGTCCCTCTATCTGTCCGTGTGAACGATAATTTTGTTTAAAAATGTCCGATCGCTTTTAGATCTCCGTTAGTTATGAACTGAATTGCATGAAATTCAATATGGGCATAGCTCTAGCCATATAATACGCAATGCCAAAAGTTGAGTCGAATCTATTCAAAATTCACTTTTTTATTTATAAAAGTATTTGAATGAAATTTGATACATAGGCACTTGGAATAAATGACAATCAAACGCCAGTTTCAAAATTTGGTTTTGCGCATGCGCAGTGCCAACTTTTTTATTTATGGAAGAATTTAAACGAAATTTGATACATAGGCACTTGGTATAAAGGAAAGTCAAACGTCAGTTTCAAAATTTGGTTTTGTGCATGCGTAGTGGCAACTTTTTTATTTATGGAAGCATTTAAATAAAATTTGTACATAGGCACTTGGAATAGAGGAAAATCTAAGGCCAGTTTCAACATTTAATTTTGCGAATGCGCAGTGCCAACTTTTTTTATCTATGGAAGCATTTAAATGAAATTTGATGCATAGGCGCTTGGTACAAAGGGAAATCTAACGTTAGTTTCACGATTTAGATTTGCGCATGCGCAGTTCCAACTTTCTTATTTAGAAAAGCATTGAAATGAAATACTTCTTATAAACAGAAATTGAAGTAGCACGTCAAAAATGGATTGCACATGTGCAACCCTATCTTTCATATTTGTGGCCGAATTTTTACGATTTTAACAGAAGTTGCATCTTACAAATGGGAAATGAATGCAAGCGAAAATGCGCTTTTTGTAAATCGTTTACGATTACTTTTTAACTTGTTAACTTTACATCTTAGAAGCTCGGGATTGCGCATAGACATCTGTTTTTCAATGTAGTTTCGGACATAATTTTGAGTCACTAAAAAGTAAATGATAATAATAAAAACCTTAGGTACCTATCGTACGTAAATACTTACGTTTTGTAGTTGAAAAATACACTTTGTAGTTGTACGTACACTATACCATCAAAAATTCAACCGATGTCACTGGAAATCATGACTATGTCTGACATCTGAAGGAAGAACGCAAAAATGAAGCCGTTGAATCACTGTACGTTACATTACAAGGCGGGTAATATAAATCCGTATCAAACCTCCCTATGTATCAATGCTCCCCAGTCTTTCCTACTCCACTAGGTGACAGTAAAATTAATTAGTTTTCTAATAAGTAAATAAAGTCTCAAAATATAAAAACCTTGAAATTGAAAAATACCTAGAAAATCCTATTCCACGTAGATAGATTTTAGTAGCCTTTTCAGAAAATTGTTCTCCTGTTCAACAACCTCTGGCAACCGCACTCGCTTTCTCCAATACGTTTCTTGATATCGATTGTTATCGCCAGGCACACTTTTGTTCATGTCCGTTCCAACCATGGCAACTTCTTGGCCTAAAGTGGTCGTTTCAATTGCGATTGTTTTAAAGAATTATGGCAGTGGTTATTAATTAACATAACCATTCTGAGTAATTTAAGACCACGACCACCAAACACCGGCAAAATAGATGGAGCGCAATAGCAATTTCATTGTTTTCGCATCACTTTAGCTCCTTTCTATCGCTGTATCGGATGATACAACCGGGGAACTAGCAGAACGCAGAAGAATCATACTCTCTGTGAGAAGACTCGGTCGTTTCACTATTTTTCATTAAATATAGACTTCGACGATAGGCGGCTCATTTGAAAGAGAATGGGGTAAGGATCTAGAACCTACCGGTATTTTTTCCTATGGGCCCAGCATTAATATTATTAGGAGGAAAATACGCTCTCGTCATTTATATGTGCATAATGACTTTTTAAACTTGTTTCATATATGGCGGATTGACTACCAAGGAGCTTTAAGAGCAGAACATGAGCGATTGTTTCCAGGGCCGGCTCGTGGGGTGAGGCGGCGAGGCGGCCGCCTCAGGCGGCATAATCTTAGGGGCGGCATTTTTGAAATTTAAAAATAAAAAAAATGTTTTATTATAAGAATAATGTAGTATAATAATAAATCTTTGTAATGTCAATTGACTGAAATCGATTATAAAATATAGCCATCTCTGCCAGGCGATATATGTAATAGGATTCCATGTTTTTTTTATTACTTTATTTTATAGCATATGTTAAAATGACATTTTAATAGGTTTCAATAAGTAGGCTAAGTCCCTCTTTAGCAGTAAGAGTGGTTAAAGTGATCACTTTAACCGTAAGGGTAGATAAAGTGAAACAGATGAGTGTGCATTCTAATGACATCTGTCATTCCTATTGCAAATGCTCGATATAAAATGACGTCCAGAATATATGACAAAATAAAGTTTTGTATTATACACGACGATAAAGGTAAACTAACCATCTGGTGGAAGTTAATACCTTACACTCAATGTTTAAAATATCCATTTATCGTCTAGTATAATAAATAACTATTATCGTACTTGATACACAACGAATAAGCTAGCGTCGGCGGTGATACACCAGTGTCGTTGCTTCGCTTATTACTGCTTAATCGTTATAGACGGGAAGTGAAGGAATCGTACAAAGCCATAAAGGTAAATAACTTTTAGAAATACTGAACTATATAGAGGTAAACAGTTTGAGTGATAACTTTCCAAATATAGTAGTATCTCTAAGGATACTTTTGACTATTCTAGTCACTGGGCAGTGGAGAACGTTCTTTCTCGCAAAAAAAATAATGAAAAATTATTAATGTTCAACAATGACACAGGACAGAGTCAAGTTCTAACATAGACTTCGATGATATTGTTAACAATTTTGCAAATGACAAGTTAAAAAGGGTTCCTATATAAATATAGGTATTATTACACTATTAGTACTTTTGTATGAATTTCCGTTTTTTTGTATGCTTATGTAAATGTCATTTTCTGATTTCTACGATTTTATATAATTTTCTCGTTGTTTGGTGGTACTTATACTCATATTAAAGAACCAATTAACAAACAACAAACCTTTTC